CGTGCATTAACACTCATAATATCGGCACGGCATCACCCTTCGTGCTTTACACTCTTTCTCACCCAAACAACAGAAAATAATATGCCCGGCAAGGGAATCAACGATATCAACAATAATATCCCGGCAAGGGAATCCACAATATCAACAAACGTCCCGACAAGGGATTCAGCTATAACCAATCTCGTTTCAACAATCTCTTTACAAAATGGAACTTCAATTTGAATCAATACTCAACAATAGTCAATAACCAAGAAACTATCATAAGCTTTGTTCAACATTAATAATCATCAATTTGAGCATGATCGATGCATAATAGAGTCACAACAATCATAGTACAAGGCTCACGGGCATGGTTGACACCAACGTATAGATACTCGTCACCACACCTATACGTCGTACTCGATACAAACACATAGCAAATAGACCACAACTCCTATTCCCTACAGCTAAGGTTAAGCCAAACACTTACCTCAATGCCACGAACACAATTAAGCCTCAACTACCACTTTACCCCTCGATTCCACTTTCAATTTGCTTGTATCTAGTCATCATTTACTTAACGATATCAATAAATGCTAAATAAACCAATTCTGATGCATGAAAATAGGTTTTTTAATGATTTCCCCAAAAAGCTAAAAATTGACCCCGGGCCCGCTAGGTCAAACCCGAGGTTCGAACCAAAACCCGATCACCCATTCCCCCACGAACTCAAATATACAATTTGTTTTGAAATCAGACCTCAATTCGAGGTTCAAATCCCCAAAATTTAAAAATCCTAAGTCCTACCCAAAATCACTCAATTTCCCATGAAAAACCCTTGATTTTGAAATGAAATCATGTACAAAAGATGGATTAGATTGAAAGAAATGAGTTAGAAATGACTTACTACTGATTTGAAAGAGTTGATGCCTTTGAAAAATCGCCCAAAGATGTTCTAGGGTTTGAAAAGTTATAAAAATGAATGAAATCCCGTCTGAAATTCCACTTAACAGGTCTCTGATGTTGCAATTGCAACCAGGGGTTCACAATTGCGAACCCTGAGAATTTTTGCTAGCTTCGTAAATGCGAAGAAACTGTCGCATTTGCGAACCTGACCAATTTCTGTCAACTTCGAAATTGAGAAGCGGAGGTCGCATTTTCGATGGGGGGGGGGGGGGGTTCGCATTTCCCAGCCCTGGGGTCGCAATTGCGATGAGGGCCTACCTAGGCTTGGTTCGCAATTGCGACAATTTGGTTGCATTTCCCAAGCCTAACCACTTCGCAAATGCGAAGCCTGATCTCGCAATTGCAAGATCAGAGGCCTGGGCAAAAATACCAGATACCAGCAATTTTTCCTAAGTCCAATTTCACTCCGTGGCCTATCCAAAACTCACCCGAGCCCTCGGGGCTCCAAACCAAACATGCACACTAACCTAAAAGCATCATACAGACTTGTTCGCGCGATCAAATCGCCAAAATAACACCTCGAACTACGAGTTTAGCATCAAAATCAAAGAAAAATCTCAAGAACTCTTAAGTTTCAAATTTCACAACCGAAGGTCCGATTCACGTCATATGAAGTCCATTTCTTACCAAATTTACAGGCACAACTTAAATACCATATAAGACTTGTACCAGGCTCCGGAACAACAATACGGGCCCGATACCATCGAATTCAAACACATTTAAATTTCCAAAAATTCTTAAAATTTCAGTTAAATAATTTTCTTCAAAACTTCATTTCTCGGGCTTGGGACCTCGGAATTCAATTCCGGGCATACGCCCAAGTCCCATATTTTTCTACGGACCCTCCGGACCGTCAAATCATGGGTCCTGGTCCGTTTACCTAAAATGTTGACCAAATTCAACTTAAATTCAATTTTAAAGGCAAAATTAGCATTTTTATCAAATTTTCACATAAAAGCGTACCGAATATACGCCCGGACCGCGCACGCAAATAGAGGTGAGATAAAAGGAGGTTTTTAAGACCTCGGAACACAGAATTGACTTGTAAATCAAGTGATGACCTTTTGGGTCATCACATACTTGCATGAAGTTGTTTCATGTTATAGCTAAAACTTCATGCTAATGTAGCATGAAGTTCATGTTGAAGCTAAAACTTTATGCTAATATAGCATGAAGTCGTTTCACATTGAAGCTAAAACTTCATGCTAATGCATGCTGAAGTTATATATCCTGCAGTCTACAATTTTGTCATGAGTTTTATCCGAACTTCAGTCTAAACATGCTAAAGTTATTTAGTTCATTTGCTAAAACTTCAGACTAAACATGCTTAAGTTTTTTAGTTCATCTGCTAAAACTTTAGATTAAACATGCTGAAGTTATTTAGTTCATTTGCTAAAACTTCAGGCTAAACATGCTTAAGTTTTAGTTCATTTGCTAAAACTTCAGACTAAACATGCTTAAGTTTTTAAATTCATTTGCTAAAACTTCAGACTAAACATGTTTAAGTTTTTTAATTCATTTGCTAAAACTTCAGACTAAACATGCTTAAATTTTTGTCTTGCAGTATGTAATTTTCTAATGAGTTTTTGCTAATGCATGCTGAAGTTATTTAGTTCGTTTGCTAACTTCAGACAAAACATGCTGAAGTTATTTAGTTCATTTGCTAAAACTTTAGAGTAAACATGCTTAAGTTTTTTAATTCATTTGCTAAAACTTCAGACTAAACATACTTAAGTTTTTATCTTGCAGTATGTAATTTTCTAAAGAGTTTTTGCTAATGCAGGCTGAAGTTATTTGGTTCATTTGCTAAAACTTCATACCAAAACATGCTGAAGTTTTGTAACGCAGTCTACAGTTTTGCCCTGAGTTTTATCTGAAACTTCAGTCTAAACAAGCTGAAGTTTTTTAGTTCATTTGCTAAAACTTCAGCCTAAACATGCTTAAGTTTTGTCATGCAATTTGTCAATAGTCTTTTATTAAAAAAGGGCAAAATCATCTTTTTAAAATGCTTTTAACAAAAAAAATGGGTACTGATGCAAACGGAAAAATAAAGAGAAAATCTCACTTTATACCCATTAATTCCAAACTATTTATCCTTTAATGCCCATGCCCAAACTATTTACTACTCCTACCCATGGCCCCCAAACTATTTACCCGCACTTCTTCTTCCTCATTTTACCCACGTACAATCTACCACTTTCAACTAATTCTAACTCAACACCTTCTTCTTTTTCTTCAATTTCCTCTTCTTCTTCGGCTGACAATGCACCTTCTTCTTCGTCATCATCTTGGACAACCTCAACTCCATCAGACACAGAAGCATAAGTGCTCAAAAAGATTGAAGAGCGATAAAGAGAAGAAATGGGGAAATGGGCTTTGAGTTTTGTTGAGTTTATCTTGAAGTTGAAGTGAGTATTATAAGTACTTAAGGAAAGATGATCTACTGAGAATTTAGGCTTTTGAGTGAAGAAATACAGTGAAGAAGTAGAAGAAGTAGATGCTGTAGCAGCAACAGAGAAGCAAGAACCTGACTTTTTTTGTATCGAAGAACCAGTTCGGGGTGATGCTTCCATGGTCCTACCATTGTTGGGCTTGAAGCTCAATTTTATTTTTGAAGATTTCTTGTTTGATTCAAAGTGGGTGCTGTTAAATATTGCTTATAGTACCTTCTGGAATTTCATACTGAAATTTGATAACGTTTGGAGCTGATTTGAGGTTATTGAGATCGAAATTTTCAGTTGAAAATCGAAGAAGAACACAGCTACAATATACCGCTACGGTATACAATATGCTGTAGGAGTATATAGCTATACTGCAACACTATACTATTATAGTTTATAAAGCAGTATACCGCTACAGTATACTAATATACAATAAGAGTATATAGTTATACTGCAATAGTATACAATATATTATTATGGTATACTGTAATAATATGCAAGATACTGTAACAATATGATGCAATAGTATACAATATACTATAATAGTATACTTATTACCCGTAAATTCACTTGTCTTTTCCCTTTTAATTTGTTTTAAGCTTTTACCCAAGCGTGAGGGCAAAACTGAAAATGCAAAAAAATAAAATAAAAATAAATTATAGTATGCTATATGATGTAATGGTATACTCTTACAATTAGGTCCTTTTAGAATTTTAATTTTTTTTTTGACAACTGATATTATTTAAGTTTAATAATTGAATTGAATTTTTGTAACTCTTTGCGTACAATTGTATATCCTGTTGGTATAGCTATATACTATACCAATATCATATGTTAGTTAATATTTTTTGGTTGTATTAACTACATTTAATTGGTACACAATTTGTGAATTTTCTTTAGTAATAATATAAAAAAATAATAAAAAAATGTGAAAACAGTAAATGAAATTAGATTATGAAGAGAAAAAGAATATAAAAAAACAGAAGTTAAATAAAATTAGAAAAGGGAAAAAGAAAAAAAAAGAAGAAAACGAGAAAAAAAAAGAAAAAAGAAAAGAAAAGAAGCATAGAAATAAAAAAAGAATTGGAGAATAAAGAAAAAATTCCCACAAAATCTACTATGGGTAGGAAAAGTAATTAGTTATGGGTAGAAAAATAAATGGGTAGACAAAAATAAATAGTTTTGTTTTTGTGGGTAACTATGTCAAAACCTCAAAAATAAAACGAATATAAGTTAAAAGGGTACGACCAAATAGGGGATCCATGCAATTTTCACAACTCTACCAATTCCATACCAGCAATAATAGCGTGCGGATTAGAGCTATTTTTTAAATACCGCTACCCATCCCTCTTCTCATTTTTCTTTCCTTTTCCTTTTTGCTTGTTAGGGTACGGGATACATGTCAAGAAAAGAACACATAGTTTGTTTTCCTAAGTTTGGCAATTGCTAATTCTTTACCTCAAAATAGGCTTCCAACTTCAAAAAATGTCTAATTAAATAAAGTTGTCCGCCTCCAACATTATTAGGATAACCAGACATTTAACTTGCACACAACTCTATAAATTAGGTCCTAAAAGCGTATTTACTCAAAGTAAAAGATGAGGGGAGCTAGGTGACAATTTTCAAAAATTGGAGGGTTAATGTTTACATAAGAAAATTCTATATTAATTGCACAGGGAAAGGGAAAAGTGAAAACTAAATAAAAAGGGTTTTTTGTGGATTTCCTCTGTAATTTCGAAATCGCTTTTCTGTTCTTTCAAATATTTTTCGACTAATTGAATTCAACCGCAACGTATATCAACGCATCAGCGAGGGAGATTCAAAAAGGAAAGAGTAAGCTTTTCCAACTGAAGGCTGAAACTACAAAGGAAAAGGTGGGACTCTTAGCCTCAAGCCCTTAACTACCTAAAATCTTTGGTTCTTTTACAGATTCCTACTCTTAGCTCTGTATTTTTATTGTGGGATTTTTTTTTTTCTCATATGTCATATGTTCTCTTGTTTTTAATAATGGGGTTTGTTGGGTCTTCCAAGTTTGTATCTTTGAAATTCTTGATCGTTCGTTCTCATATTTCGAGCTCTTCTTTTCTTTTGCTAATTCTCATTGTAGTTTTTGGGTTAATGTTGGTTTGTCAGAAGTTCTTGTTTTTGCTAATTAATTCATGGTTTAAATTAGATTGGTTTTTCTCCTCTCTTTTCTCTTCTATCTTGATTGTTGGTGGATTCTAGGGTTTGATTTTGTTGTGCTCTCATAGTCTCATTGTTGGTTCAATCCATTTTTTTGTGTTCTAAAAAGAGATTTAATATATCCATTAATTGTGTGTGTTCGGCAGGTTGTTTTGAAGAGTACATGTATTTTTAATTAACTTTTCTTTATGGAAGAGACTAGCAGAGCAAAATTTGCTAAAACTGTTGAATTGTGGAACGTCATGTGGGATGTGGATAGTTAGTCTTCTTATAAGGACTTGGGCAATCCTCATCTCACGAGCTAGCTTTAGGGATCGAGTTAAGCCCAAGATCCATTTCTTAACAAAAACTGGAAGTGTATTGTAATTTCTTATTAATTTAGTATCAATGACTATGTTGTTTCGAGGTGCAGCAGATCCATGTCAAGTTTACAAGTAGAAAAATTGGCGCTTTTTGCCCAAGTAGGGCTTTTGAATTACTGATGTTGCACCTAATTGCAACAATATGTTTTGCGATTAGTTTTGTGTAGTTTGGCACAAAATTGGATTATTTTTCTAACTGTGCCCTGTTTATCGCGGTTTTTGTAGGCTGACAATACTTTGCTGCTTGAAGCAGCCTACTGCTAGATATACAACCTAGTTTTGTCCTTTTGAGAGTTTCAACTGACTAAAGACTATTGCTCACTTTAAGTATTTGTTCACAAAAGATGAAGCGTCGACGCGGGAGCAGAAAAGGTAAAGCAAAGAAGCCTCGGACAACTGGAACGAGTGAGGAGGCTCCTAATAATGGTAGTATGAATACCGAAACAAATTCTGGTACAGAAGAATCTGACAATGATGGAGTTGACTCTGGGGTTGAGGCTGAGACACCATCTTCTGCCGTAACTGGTCTACCGGAAAAACCTGTAATCGCTACTTCTGGTGCTCCAAGGGATAAACCTGCAGGTTTAGCAGTTTATGGGCGTATGAAAGTAAAGATCAAAACATCAAAACCGTTAGAATCCCAGCGTACCTCTTCCGAAGCAGCTACTCCTAGTGATACTGATAAAAGTAGCCAGCAAGCTGGTCCAGAAAAACAGGTTGTTTCTAATGAGAAAATGGAAGACAGTGCAAACTCATTGCCCGAGGATAATGTAACTACCACTGGAAATTTGCCAAAAAAATCTGGAGGCATAAAGATTAAGTCTTCAAAGGGCTTTTCTTCAAGCATGAGCCCTTGTAGTAATGCTGAAATGATGAAGGAAGAGAAGACAAAACAGCAAGAGCCTGAGTTACATCGCCGTGATTTGAGATTCAACAAGCAGGAGCTAGACACTGCTTTGGAGGTAAGCGGAACAAAGAAAACCTATTCTATTTGTAATGGCATGTTCATAAAATGCACAATTTTAACCTATTCCATATGTGTTGGCTTGTTGGGTGGAAGGTTATGAGTTATAGCTGTTAGTTGGTAAGGAAGTAAAAGCGGAGGGGAAGTAGAATTGGAGGGTTACCCCTCCATATTAACTTTTTTAGTCCCTCCAAAATTGGACGAATATGAGAAATTATATATCTTTTACTTCTCTTTCACCCTTACCTCCACTTATGGATAGCATATCAATGAACTTCTTTTTCCTTTCCCCTCCCCATCCTTTTAATGGAACCAAACATAGTTTTTTACCATGCTTCGAAGATGCAAGTTTTTATAGATATTAACTTCTATGCTAAATTAATTTTATTTCCTGTCTACTTAGGTTATAAGAAAAATTATGAAAATGGATGCTGCAGAGCCCTTCAATGTTCCAGTTGATCCCATCGCTCTTGGAATTCCTGTAAGTAAATAATTTACTTTTCTAATATCTTTCTTCTATAGTAGGAGTAATGTATTCTAGAGTGGCTTTGTAGGTTCTGATTCAACACCGAGAATTCCATGTCCTTGTGAGAGGGTTTTGACAAGTAAATACAGAATCTGTAAAATTTTGTTACACTGCGAGGAATGTGGACGGGTATAAGTTGTGGTACTCTGGAGTCGTGAGGGGTAAGAATGGAGTGGGTATCTTGGTGGATAGGGACCTTAGAGAGTCGGTGGTTGAGGTTAGGCGGGTGCATGACAGGCTAATGTTTATTAAGTTGGTGATAGGTGAGTGCACCCTCACTGTCGTTAGCGCTTACGCGCCGCAAGCGGGCTTGGATGAGGAGGTTAAGAGGCGCTTCTGGGAGAGTTTGGATGAGGTTGTGCGTAGTATTCCACCCGCTGAGAGGTTATTTATAGGAGGGGATTTCAATGGCCACATTGGGTCGGTTGCTGGTGAGTATAGCGAGGTGCATGGTGGCTTCGGCTTTGGGGTTAGGAACGGAGGAGGTTCCTCGCTGTTGGAGTTCGCTAAGGCTTTCGAGCTGGTGATTGCGAACTCAAGTTTTCCGAAGAGGGAGGAGCATCTAATAACTTTTCGAAGTTCGATTGCGAAAACTCAGATTGATTACCTCCTCCTCAGAAGGTGTGATAGAGGGCTGTGCAAGGATTGCAAGGTTATCCCGGGTGAGACCCTCGCGACCCAGCATAGGCTCTTGGTAATGGACGTCGGTATTACGATAAGGAGGAAGAAGAGGTATGGTCGTGGTCAACCGAGGATTAGGTGGGGAGCCTTAACTAAGGATAAAACCCAGGAGTTGGAGGGGAGGTTATTGGCTATGGGAGCATGGAGGAGTAGTGAGGACGCCAGCGCTATGTGGGCTACGACAGCGAACTGCGTTAGGGAGGCGGCGAGAGAAATGCTAGGGATTACGAAGGGTCACTCTGGCAGGCACCAAGGTGACTGGTGGTGGAATGACATAGTCCAAGGCAAAGTGGAGGCGAAGAAGGAAGCGTATATGAAGTTGGTAGGGAGCACATGCGAGGAGGAGACGAGAGCGAATAGAGAGAGGTACAAGGTAGCAAGAAAGGAGGCTAAGCTAGCGGTCACGGAGGCTAAGAATGCAGCGTTTGGCCGACTTTATGAGGAATTGGGGGAAAAAGGCGGGGATAAGAAGTTGTTTCGATTGGCTAAAGCGAGGGAGAGGAAGGCTCGGGATCTGGATCAAGTAAGGTGCATCAAAGACGAGGACGGTAGAGTCTTGATGGGGGAGTCCCAGATTAAACAGAGATGGCAGAGGTACTTCCAGGGTCTTCTAAATGAGGAAGGGGGCCGCGATATAGTGCTAGGGGATCTGGGGCACTCGGAGAGTCTCCGAGACTTTGGGTATTGTAGGCGTATTAAGTTGGAGGAGGTCGTGGGGGCTATGCGTAAGATGAGTCGGGGCAGAGCGATCGGGCCAGATGAAATTCCGGTTGAGTTCTGGAAGTATGTGGGTAGAGCAGGCTTGGAGTGGTTGACTGGGCTATTTAATATTATTTTCAGGACGAAGAGGATGCCAGATGAGTGGAGGTGGAGTACAGTGGTTCCATTGTACAAGAACAAAGGTGATATCCAGTGTTGTAACAACTATAGGGGTATCAAGTTACTAAGTCATACCATGAAAGTCTGGGAGAGGGTGGTGGAGGCGAGGGTGAGGAAGATAGTGTCTGTATCTGACAACCAGTTCGGGTTCATGCCGGGTCGCTCGACCACGGAAGCTATCCACCTTATTAGGAGGTTGGTGGAACAGTACAGGGGTAGGAAGAAAGATCTGCACATGGTGTTTATTGACTTGGAGAAAGCGTATGACAAGGTTCCTAGGGAGGTGCTATGGAGATGTATGGAGGTAAAAGGTGTGCCGGTAGCTTATGTTAGAGCGATCAAGGACATGTATGATGGAGCTAAGACTAGGGTAAGGACGATGGGAGGCGACTCGGAGCATTTCCCGGTTGTTATGGGGTTACACCAAGGATCAGCGCTTAGCCCGTTCTTATTTGCCTTAGTAATGGATGCACTAACACACCATATTCAAGGGGAAGTGCCATGGTGTATGTTATTCGCTGATGACATAGTAGTGATTGATGAGACGCGGGACGGTGTTAATGAGAGGTTGGAGGTTTGGAGACAGGCTCTCGAGTCTAAGGGTTTCAAACTGAGCAGGACTAAGACAGAGTACCTGGAGTGCAAGTTCAGCGCCGAGTCGAGGGAAGAAGGCATGGATGTGAGGCTTGGATCACAGGTCATCCCCAAGAGAAGTAGTTTCAAGTACCTTGGGTCGGTTATTCAAGGGGATGGAGAGATTGACGAGGACGTCACTCACCGCATAGGAATGGGGTGGACGAAATGGAGGCTAGCATCTGGAGTCTTATGTGACAAGAAAGTACCACTGATACTCAAAGGTAAGTTTTATAGGGCGGTAGTTAGACCGGCCATGTTGTATGGGGCAGAGTGCTGGCCAGTTAAGAACTCTCATATCCAGAAGATGAAGGTAGCTGAGATGAGGATGTTGAGGTGGATGTGCGAGCACACTAGGTTAGATAAGATCAGGAATGACGATATTGTGGAGAAGGTGGGTGTGGCCTCTGTGGATGACAAGATGCGGGAAGCGCAGCTCAGATGGTTCGGGCACGTGCGGAGAAGCCTGGATGCTCCGGTGAGGAGGTGTGAGCTGCTGGCTTTAATGGGTTCGAGAGGAGGTAGAGGACGGCCTAAGAAGTGTTGGGGAGAGGTGATCAGGCAGGACCTGGCGAGATTGCAGATTTCCGAGGACATGGCCTTTGATAGGAAGGTTTGGAGGTCGAGCATTAGGGTTGTAGGATAGGGGGGTAGTCGAGCTTCCCCCTCCATTCCGGGAGGGGGGGGGGGGAAGCGAGTTTGAGTGGGTTGGTCCTAGGCAGGCTTGTGGTTAATGTAGAGTTCACACTAACCTTGCTGTTTCCCATAGATCTAGTCCTTAGTTGTGGGTTATGGTTATTGCTTGTCATCTATTTTATGGTTTTTAGGATGCTGTCATTATTTCTATGGCTATGTTGACGTTACTGAAGAATTGTCTTTTCTTGTTTTCTTGTTTTATTTTTCCTAAGCCGAGGGTCTATCGGAAACAGCCTCTCTGCCCCATCGGGGTAGGGGTAAGGTCTGCGTACACACTGCCCTCCCCAGACCCCACTTAGTGGGACTTTACTGGGTCGTTGTTGTTGTTGATTAAAGCTATTGTAAATGGTTCTCGTGTAGGCTGAAAAGTCTTCTGTAGGTATTGGCAGGACCAACGTATAACAAGTTCTTGTAGCATTAGTGAAGTTTCCAATTTACACCTCGATTCCAATATCATGAAAATGAGTTTACCTAGACCCCCCCCCCC